CTCGCAAGGGCGCTATATCTAAGAATCTGCGAAGTCGCATTTGCGTCGCCGTGTGCATCGGCAGTGACGATCATAATGCCTCGCTGGGCGTTCCGACGAGGCACAACACCCGCAGATGACGAAGACGACGCCGAGAAGGAGTTGGAGAAGAGAAGCTCGGTCATCTTGCATTGCCGAAATGGCATGACAGTAGGCTACGTCGTTTCACGTTAGACTCGTCCTGATCAACGGCTTGCGTCCGACTTGACATACCTTGCTGCTGTTGCCCATACCGCTCTGTGCCTGGAGACACTGACCGAGATACATCAGACTCTCGTTGATCTTTCCGGCTTCCGCGAGAGTTGCGCCTTGCGTCTTGGCATCTCGGGCACGCTCGGAGCCAGCTAAGTCAACAATAGTCAGAGTGTTGCCGGTCCAAGATCGGTAGCGTCCTGCTCTGGATCTTTTCTTCACCTCAACACAGAAGAATCCGTGGCTGCGGGAGGAGACACTATTGCTGCCAGTTCCAGCAACCTGACGCTCATGTAATCCTGCTTCCAATACCATGATAGCTTCTCTCATGGTAGTGCACGCAATCTTCTTCAGTCCAGCCACAACCTTTCTGTCTGAAGACTGCTCGGTTGATTTGAAGAGCAATGGCCGACGCCGGTACTCTTTCGTAGCGTTGGATTTGATAGGCGGGGTTAGGAGATCGTAAATTTTGTCGTTGTAGACCTCGTACATGGACAAAACGACGGCATAGTCAGAATCGGGGTCTGAAGACACATTGACAGAGCTGATGTCAGGAGCTGAGGGAAGAGCCGAAGGTCGCTGGAGAGCGCGTCGAGGGGTAGGAGGAGGACAGTGTTCGCCCTTTACTAGTTGTTTAGCTGTGTTCTTTACTTTGGACGCTGTAGTCACGGCCATGAAGTGCTTTTCGGCAGCGTCTTCGTGAATAAGGAAATCTTCCCGCACTGGCGTGGAATAGCCATCGCGAGGCTTGCGCCGCGGATGGTCTGGTGTCGACGACACAAGGCGCACGCCTGTCAACTCGACTGGCGGCTGGGCTCGCTTTTGCCTTTGGTTGTGTGCGAAAGGCTGGAAGGGAAATTCGACGGAATGAACAGGGGGTCCTACAAGCATCGGTGTTCCCGCTCTTGATCCTCCCCCGCGAGATGAGCCAAAGTCTGCAAAGACAGTCTCGAGGAAGCACGGTGCCGATATGATGGTTGCATCCGAGGCATCTGAGGATTGGAGAGAGCTCTCCAAAGTCGGTGAATCGTACATGTTGGAACCAATTGACCTGAATACGACGTCGAGCGCGAGCTGCGTCATGCCTCTTGTTGAGCGCGAGCCAAGAATGGTGTGTGACTACAGAGCTGATTAGCAGAGTAGGTCAAGATGGGATGCTGAATACAGCTTGAGACTACCTTTCCAGATCCCGTGACGCCCAGGGTGGCCATCAAAGCATCAGTGCCATGTCCACCATGAGGGGCCAGGACACCCTCGACAAGTGAGGCAACTCCTGTGCAATGGAAAACATCGAGCTGAGATGCCTCTTCCTCGAAGACTCTGGTGAAGGCAAATTTCTCTGTTGAGCGCTTGCGGTCGTTGGGAGGATTCAGTGTGATATGAGTTGGGTGCGAGTCCTCGCGAGACTCTTCAACATCGACAAATCTGTCGGACGCAGCTGCGCCAGCTGGAGGCGGTCTCAGGCGCAAATATACCTGAAAGAGGTTTGCGGACGACTTTTGCGGTAATGAGGAATCCATTTTTCGCTCTTTTGTTTATATTCCTTCGGCGTGTATTTGAGAAAATTGACGATGTTTCTGCTCGGGGATACGCGGTTGTCGTATGATTGATACTCGTCGTCGAGGTTGAGCATCTAAAGCTGGGTCATCTAGGGTGCGAATGATGCCGATGGGACAAAGAGATACAATCCTTGTTTACTGCGATGACCGGGCAACGAGATAAGATAAGCGAGGTTGACCTGCCCGATTAGATAAGCCGCGTAAATGGGGACGTGCACTTTGATGCTCCTGGCCCCCTGGCAGGAATCTGATCTCCCCCCCACTAACTTTTTTTTTTGCACTGTGCTCCCCGCTGAGACAAAGTCCCTAGGTAGTGGGGCCCGGCTCCAGGGCAGGCACGTACCGACCTATGTAAGGTAGGCGCCGGGTCCGACCGATGGTGGGAGGAACCTCAAGCTAGGAATTCACAGGTCCAGTTCAACTTCGCATCTCCTTCTGCTCACATGGCTTAGTCGGTAATTATGGCGAGGCACCCTTTCTGGAAGCTATCCGTCGTCAACAGCGGCACTACACAACTTACGGCCCGACTTGTCAGACAATTTTGTGTCTTTGTTCCTGAATGTGGCAGCATTATCCCTCGGTGACTGACTTAGAGTCAGACCATTAAGAGGTGTATGTAGTCACCGCAGGGACGATCATTGACTGGTCAAGCCTAAGGCATGAAATATAGACCAAGTGTTCTCTCACTGCAGTTATTGGTAACTTGGATTGTTGGTGATGGTGTACGTAGTAGGCTTGAGAAGAGCTCTGCCAGCTCTCCTCCCGGAGCTCCACGCCAGGTATATATGCATTCTTACAGGTAATAGCCCCTCGATCAAAGTTTTACTCGGGCTCGTAGCCAAATGTTTGAGGGCTGCACAGGCATCACCCGGCTCGTTAACCCCTCATTTCCCGTCAGTGAGTCATGAACGACAAGAAAGTCAGACATCGCGGACCAGTGCCGTCCAAGGCTGATCCCAATTCCTCCCGCATGACTGGTTGAAAATTTGGACATGAAGCAATGGACCCTTTGGATGAATTGTGGTTGGATTGAGTTGAAAAAACTTACGAACACACTACGGACAGCACCGAACATCCGAGGAGCCTTGGCCCCGCCTAGGCCGGAGCTTGAATGCCTTTTTTTTTTTTTTCTTAAATCTCTTTCGAGGGTTATTGATTGCCAATCTACTGGTTCCAACATCTACCTTAGATCTGGACAACCACTCCGAAGGCGAAGTACGTACCTAAAAAGGCGACACTTCACTTTGTTACTTTTGTTACTCTAGCAAATACGTCGTTTCACAGAGAGGAGTCAGCAAGTGACTCAACAACTCTCAAACAGAGCAACCCAAGCCCAATGACTCTTCTGGATGACTGAAGTTACGGTGTGCTCAAGTGGCTCTTGGTCTTGAGACGTAGACTGATGAGTTGGCCCCTCGATTGCCCCTCGGTGATGCCCCTTGAGGCTTGAACAGACGAACGTGCGAGCCGAGGCGAATCAGGAGACCGCCTACCTAATACGCATGCTGGACGCTGGATGCTTGTGTAGGCAGGTGGTGGGCCATATCCCGAGCTAATACGGATACCTTGTACAGATGCATTGGGTTATGGGAATCTGCAAAGTACAGATAGGGCCAGTAGTGGGGTTACGTGAGAGGAATTTGCTTGGTGCTTGTCAAGACTCAAGAGACAGAAGTCAGGAGTCAGGAGTCAGGAGCTTGACTCTGTGGGGTCCTCAATGCACAATCTGGAGGCCGCAGCTGCGCCTCTCTCCATCTTGGAGTATTAGCCTATGGGTTACTCCCAGTTGACACCTGGACTTGCCGCTGTTCATGGATGAAGCGTCAACGCTGCGTTGCGGTGTACGACGGACGGTGACCACCTCCCTCATCTGCTCTGATCAACCGTCCGGATCAGCAAGACTACGACAAATGGTAACTCTCGATACTGAGAAAGGCCTACGCAAGTACGCAGTACGGATATATGCTCCGTACACCCAAGAAGATGCTCTGCGGGTCAAGAGGGAAGGATTAGATAGTAGGTCTGCCACAATGGAGGAAGGATCAGCTTTTCCCCCCTCCCCCTCGATCTGGACCAGCCTGACGGGTGACGACAGATGGAGGAGTCAAAAATCCATTACGGAGTATGTGCCTGGAAGAAGAGCTTGGAACAGACGGGAGAGTGAGGTGGCACAGGTCGAGGGAGGGGCAGAAATGGTTTGATGAGGTCGACGTTGCTGCCACGGTTGCGTGCTGTGCTGTGCGTGCTGCCGCCTGCCAAAGGCACCTACCAGGTTCGAGGCGAAGAGGGGCGCGGTTGACTTGCAGACTTGCAGTTGCTAGCCTTTCCACACAGGGTCCCTTCCTCCACAGTTTACTGATTCTATCCACTGAATGACGCCGTATCTCCAGCGGATTCTCAGCGCCTGCAGGGCAATTGTAGGAGCGCCAGGGGGGAACAGACCGCGAAAAGGCGGTGACGGCGTGCCGGATGTGGGATAGCGCCGTCTCGCTACCCACTCTTAGCGAGCTAGACAATGGCAGCTGTGGGCAGGCACACAGGGCCGCAGATTCCCACACCTTGAGACCCCACCAAAACGGGGGACTTTCAACTTGGAGAAGGAGGCACGGAGGAAAAAGTTTGGGCGACAAACGGCAACAGCCAGTGGGGTACGTATCCCACACTACGTACCTACAGCGTAGCAGCCCACCAAAAAAAAAAAAAAAAGTTCGATTGGGTGCTCCACACCAAAGGACGGGGCGACTGGGGGAGCCATATTATTTTCGGAATCCCGGTGCCTCTCTTCCTCTTCCCTCTCTTTTTCCTCTCTCTCCCATCTCAACCATCAAAACCAAATTCAACCCCACGAGACAACGAAGTCGCCCTATAACCTTGAAAAGGATCTAGAAACAAACACACACTTCGTCGAGAATCATGTCCGCCGCTTTCGCTGAGCTGTAAACGCCCACTGCGGAGGTGCCCCTGCGCAGGCACCTCTGCAGTCCAGCAGCCCATCGAGACATTCAATCCATTCTGTTTCCCGACGAAGTTCAAACAGGCTTTCACTGTCCAGAGCCCTCATTGAGAGGACCGCTCTGGCCCATTGACGGAAGTCTGCATCGCATTTCACTAGAATCGATCAACAAGCCCACTATTCACCGGGCTACGAGAAGCCTATCCGCTTGAAGAAAATATCTTCACCTCCACCTCACCTAATCCGACTACCACGACCCCTCCCTCTATCCGACCCAAATACAAGACACGATAATCCAGTCGCCCTAGACCTACAAACAAGGCTCTTCAAGAGAGCAAATTACATACAATACACAACTATACACATTGTTAGGCATTCACACGGCATTCGTTAGCGCCAGTAATCCAGACAAACTCTCACCCCTCCGAGTACTACCATATTGGGTTTCAACCCCTGCCTAACCACCACCAACCATGTCACGCAACGTTCGCAACAAGGCTTCCTCGGCCTCGAGGAAAGCCGCCAAGCGTCGCGACTCTATTACTTCTTCTTCCTCCTTTGACCTGTCTGACGAAGGAGGATATTCCGCTGTCGAAGATATCAGTGATTCTTCTGACGATGACGAGGAAGATGTCGACGCGGCCGAGGAGGAACACATTCTCCACGAGGTGCTACCTGCCCCCAGCATCCCGGTTCCTCCCCGGCCGCCTATTATCCAAGAAGAAGAGGATGATGACGATGATGATGATGATGATGACGACGACGAAGAAAATGATGAAGAGGAAGAGCAGGAGCAAGAAGACGAAGACGATGGCGCAGCAGACATCGAGGATGCCGCCAGTTGGGATGGCATCATGTCAGAGGTTGACGAAAGTGCTGCTTCTGATCACCACCACCGTCCTGCGGAGCGCCACGTGCGTTTTGACGTCCCCTCGAGTGATTCCGACTCCACCGATACGGAGGATGATCATGCCGATTTCTTCCCCGACATCTTTGTCGATCAGAGCTCTCTCGATCCGGCCTTCCGTCGCGAGATTGAAAAGGATGATGAAAACGACGAGTCTGAAAACTCAAATTCATTCTGGGACTACCATGGCGATTATCATGGAGCCTATGGGTATGCTCCTGACGCAGACTCGGACGTCGAGGCTGTTGTTCAGGAACTCGGCGATGATGATACCCCGATTGCTACTCCCATGACCACTGGCGAGCTCTCTGAGATGCCCACTCCGGTCGCAGCGCTTGAGGAAACCCAAGAGCTAGACGGCTATGAGAGTGAGTTTGCACCTTGTGACGAGAATCATGAGAAACCGTGATTGCTAACTCGCCCAATTAGCTGATGGTGATACCACTGAAGAAGATGAGCCGGAGCCAGTTGTCCGCCGCAAGATTAAGCGTCCCGAACCCTCCGCGGATCAGTGGGATGATTCCGATACGGATCATCCGGTCAAGGGCCACCGTGGACAGCCGCGTGTCGGCCGCTTTAACCTCGACAACTCGGAGCGGAAGCCTATTGCTGTTGTGAACCCCATCTCACGAAAGATGATGATCTTCACTCCCCATCGTCGCCGTCAACTTGATCTGTCACCCGAACAGTTCAACTTCCAATACCTGGCCCCCATTGATGAGAACCAACCATCTCCCATGATGAGCAGCTCTGCCCAGATTATGATGAGTGCAATGTTCTCGTCCAATACCTTTGGTGACTACCTCAACACTCAGGCCATGGGACCTACCGAGGCCTTCTTCCCCTTCCAGTCTGAACCCAACACTGCCGATGAGAGCTCGGATGTTGGATTCGATGAGGAGGAGGATGACGAGGTTGAAAAGTCTCTCAACATCAGCGACTTCATCGAGTTCGATGAGGGCCGGTCCTCTGCCGATGAAGACGAGGACAACCAGTGGGACACCGATCCCCTGAACTCTACTCCTGCCCGGCCGCGTACCGCTTCAAGCGACGTCGACCTCCACTCCCACATCAATGCCACCAACGTGGGAGCATTCCGTCGCGACCAGATCAACCAACGTCTCATCTTGAGCGACAAGGCCACACAAGACTCCCTCGCCCTGAGCAGTCCTTATAACTACACTGCTCTGCGTGGTCTCAAGTCAGATCGCTTCGAAACCGCCGCCGTTCCCTTGACGCCCCTTCGACGATCCAAGAAGCAGATGCGTGACGCAGCGCGCAGTCCTTTAGAGTCCATGTCGCAAAAACGCAAGGCATCCAGTGAGATGCCCATGGGCCACAAGCGCCATCGCAGCATCTCGGATGTCAACTTGCTACACATCTAGCCGATGCCGTAGCGTTTGACTCATCCGGCATGTTAATGCGACAAAAAACGGTTGAGGATGGCGTGGCAAGGTGCCCTCAAGGAATGGGCACCTGCCATCCCTGGCCTCACACACATTGGCTATCGTTGCCCTTTCTGTTTTCTTATGTTACACATTCTTACACTGCCCGTCGAATCGACGGGAATGACGGTGGACAAAAGCGCAAAAGTTATGGACACTGAAAGCAAGTGTCCGAAGAGCGGACAATGTCAGCCCTATACTACAACCGACCAATCCTCATTGGTGGGAAGAATCTCCCTGTCACGGTCTGAGGCATCTGACAGCAGCCTGTTTCCTAGTTTCGTATCAATGAAAATCATGATATCCTACCTTGTGTGTCGTTACTATATGTTCATGTTGCATTACCCATCCAATCCTGTGACGATATATTGGTTCACGCTTGGGGGCTGTACCGATGGGCGAGAAAGACTCAACATTGGTGTTTGCTCTGCGTGAAGAAATGTCAAAAGACACCAAGTATGTACAAGAAGGAGTTCATCATCCAGTCGGGTCTAGCCCGTCCCGACCTTGCACCGTTCGTTCCTCATTATAGATACCCCCTCCAATCCCCTCGATCATAAGTATTCCAGCCGGCCGATGCATTGACTCAGCTGTAAGTGTCAATGGCATTGTTGAACGCCGTATCAATCGGGGCAATCAGCGTCTTAGCGAAGGCCTGCAACGCCTCGGGGACCTTCTCAATGACAGCCGCACTGAACTTGTCCGTGGCGCTCTGCTCCGACTTGAGGTTGAGCAGGATGACCGGGCTCAGCAGGAGCTTGTCAAATTTGGGTTTCGCGTCGACGACGGCGGTGAGCGTGGTCTGCACGCCGCCCGATAGCTTCTGCGTCGCCTGCGCCACCCCGATGGCCTCGAGGGCGCTGAGCGGCTCCGAGTCCTCGGCGACCTTTGTGGCCTCGTTGATCTTGATGAGGAGCTTGGTGGAGTCGATGATGATGGGGAGCGTGCCGAAGAGGCCACCGTCCCAGGACGACACGGTGTCGCCCAGCTCCGTGTTCTGGGCCGCGATCTCGTCCATGGCGGCCACGATGGCGGCGCCGTCGGCGAGGACTGAGGTGGCGAAGAGGCCGAGGAGGGAGAACTTGAGAAGCATGTTGTCTGTTGTTGAGGTCTCTGTGGACTAACACAAACGAGAGCTTGGCTTGAGTAGTATAGGGAGATATATTGATCTGAATCTGGATCTGGGGCTGCCGCTTGACCAAGACACCATCCTTAATATCGCGACCTCCATCAGCTCTTTATACTCATTGCTCGTACGATTCCAGAACATCATCGTTGACCTCGTCACATTAACTACATTTTAGCTTGCATGTTGGCTCATGTTCCTCCGCCTATCACACCTATTCAACTTCTAGCGACCTTCCATCAAGGTCATATTCCCCCGCAAACACCATCGGTCAAGGACACTCAATTACCACATCAAGACATAGGCGACGTAGGATCGCGTCGTCACAATCCTGGAAATCAGAAAGCTTCACATGCCCCCTCGGCCGAGAAACACCAACTTACGCAACGTGCTCAGCTCCCCCTCCAAGAACAACAAACACCCATCCCGCGCCGTCCCCATCACGAACACATGCTTAGCCAGCAGTTCACGACACCTCCAAGCCGAGGAGCGCAGGGATCTTACCCCAGATTCCGGCCTTCCTACCCCCTGAACGCCCCCGCTGATCTGCCCTCTTTCCCCTCATGCAAGCCTTGCAAGGTGCCTGCCGATGTGACTTGCCCGACACAAGAGTAGGTGCGCAAATGCCCGCCATTGGACGGCGTAAACACAGTCCGGCTCCGGCATTGGCCTTTTCTTCGCGACTCGGGGCGGCTGGCTGACTGTGAGGGCGGCCAGACGTCATGGTTGGTGCGAGTTGGCGGGCTTTTAGCCTTTTTGGACCTGAGCCAATGGTTCCTCCGAGCTTTTACTTCGTCTAATGAGGCGATTAACATTGGAGGATGCGATGGCAGGTTTGTCATTTCCTTCGGTTCTGACGAAATGTGTGAAGGTGACTGAGATTCGGGTGGCTTAATATGGCAGCCTACATACACTTTTGGGACTTTGTCACACCTATTCGCAAAGTCTAAAGACAATATCCCTTGAGATGGATTGTCAATTACCTCACCAACTCCCTCCTATCTTTGAAACTGCAGTCTCTCTCAAATTTCGTGACCTTGGAGTTCTACATCTACTGTGCAATTGGGTCTATGTTTTTGGGCATACTCCAAGTCAGACAGACCCTTAAGTAATGCCGAATTCGCCGTTGCGTGTCTACCACTTTCACGCCTCAGTTGTTGCCCAACGTCCAGCCAGACAGGCACAAGAGATCATAGGAATGAGCTCTTTCTGAGTGATGATGAAGTGCCAATACCAAGTCTAATTCCAAAAAGGCTGCCGGTTACCGGAACGAGGCAGCAGGGGCGTCATTGAGCTGTCAGTCACACCTGATGAGAATAGTCCGAGGTACCTGCCGTCAACACATGCCCCAAAAGATTGATGGTAAGTAAGTAATAAGAAAGACACCAGATAGTCATGAAATCAATCCCATGTTACCCCTCCCAGAAAAGACGCAGAGATCAAAGCCGCACTCTAGGATCCAATGCGCCTATTCACCACATAGTTCTCCATCTTCCGCAAGACCAATTGAGCCAGGATGTGTGTACATAATAAGCAGCTGCCATCCGGTAACCGTCGCTATTCACGCCACAAGACCCACTGATTCACAGTCAAAACAAGCAAGTTTAGCCACCCTGACTCTCCCAAATCTCATTTAAAATGATCACCATTGCCTGTCAAAAGAAGATGGACATTTCCCATGCGAAACAAAAATCGACTCGACCGAGCTGGGACTCGAACCCAGAACCTTTGCCACCGGAAAGCAACGCGCTGCCATTGCGCCACCCGGCCGTATCCTTTGATTTCCGATGAAAGCCGAGGTTGGTTGACTACTCAAGGAGCCTCGCGCAAAAGGAGCAAGAGCTTTCTCAACCTCTCCGCCGGCGATGCGTGAGTTAGAAGCCCTTGCTGCTTTGACGACAGCCTCTGGTGTCTAAGCGGTATAGTCTTGAAGTCTTGGTGAAGCGGGCATGAGGGATGACGGATGGCGGATGGCGGATGGCGGATGCTTGAAGTTGCCGGTGGCAGTAAATATCACAAACACGCCAGTCGATTCGACAGGTCTTGCCAAAAGTCTATGCAGATTGCTGTTCTGGTCTAAGATGCTCTATCCATAAGACGCACAAGCATGTGTGTGATCAGCGCAGCCGGTGCCTCGACATGTTCGAAGCTCTTGGGGTATCTAATACAAGCAAGCCATCCTCCACGATTCACCCAATCCCCAAAAGACAAGACATTGCGCGACTGAGTATGCTCACTCATCATCGTCATTGAGACCAAAATCGTCGTCGTCGTCGTCGTCTTCACCCATCCCATGATCGTCCTCATCGTACATGTGGGATTCGTCGCCCATGTCATCGTAGTCATCCCCACCACCATACTCGTCGTCTTGGTGCTCATGACCCCCGTTGCCATCAATGGGCTCGATTTCTTCTTCTTCTTCTTCGTCGTAGTGGTCGTCCACGACACTGGGCGCCTTGCTCGTAGGACGGCTCGCAGCTTCACTCTCAGGCCGGGACCCAGGGTCACCTTGACCAGCGACGTCAAACATCTGCCGGATAGCCTCGTAGTTGATGCGCTTCGAAAAACCACGCTCCTTCATGACATTAACGGCAGCCTCGCCAGGTGTGCTGGCAGGTGTCGTTTGGCCTTCGCCAATACGAGGGCGCTTCTTCCGCTTGCGATCCTTCTTAGGCTTCTTCTCCTCCAGCTTCTTGCGGAACAGACGCTCCTGTGATGCGCGTAGCCAGTCTTTGTTTTCATTGACCCACAGAAGTTCCTTGATCTTGATTTCATCAGGGGTCAACATGCAGTTTGCAACTTCAGGATCATCGGCGAACTCGTCTTCGCCAACCTCGGGCGCCATTGAGACAGCCTTATCTGGTTGCTGCTGGAGGGCCCAGATCGAGTGGATACGAGCTCGTTGCTCGGCGTTGCTGAAAGCTTTTGCGTGCTCGTAGGTCTCGGGATCATTCATAATTTCCGAGATCTGATCTTCCATCTCGGCCTCATCTTCCTCCCACTCTTCGTTGATTGGCAACGACGGTTTTGATTGCCGCGTCTTTTCACTACCAGTATCCGTCTGTGATGACTCTTCGTTTTCCTTCTCCGCGTCGCCAAATTCTTGAGCCAGGCCCTCAAGATGTTGGGTGCTGTTAGCATCCCTTAAAGCCGGCTCGTTGACGGCAATCTTCGACGGGAGAGGGGGGATAATGTAGCCGTCCTTATCTCGACGATACTCAATGGTCGGCGCTGCAGACAAATCAGGCGGTGGCAGAGAGGGCGCAGGTGTCGTTCTGTTGTTACCACCGTCGTCTGTGATAGTTCGCTTCCGCTTTTTGCCAAGCTCTTCCTGCTGCGCTTGCCAAGCCTCGGTGTTCCGGTAGAAAGACGGGGGGTCGTGAGAGCTAGAGCCGAAATCTTGAGACAAGAAGTCTTCTACCGTCATTTTACTGGTCTCCGTCACGTTGAACTCCTCGAGACGTTCCTGGATGGTGTGGTTCGTGACCTTGACAATATAAACAACTTCTCGAACGGTTCGCCGGAAGTTGTGCATCCGAGCAGCCATCAGAAGACACGCTCCACAGATACCAGACGGACGACGGCCCATGACGATCCAATCTTGCTTCATGCGACGGACAAGGCGGACAGCATCTTCGGCGACTCGATTGGTCATATGCTTGAATTCGAGCTTGGAGGCGAATCGGTAGATAATGTCCTCAGGGAAGACCGGAGACTCTCCGCTTGGGAAGAGGCAAAGAGTCTTAGTCAACGCCTTGAAGGTTCTTCCTAATACAAACACGTTGACCTGGATGATGTCGCCAATATCGATGAGCATGACGCGACACGGCCTTTCCATTCTGCATGCAGCGTAGAGGCATACAGCCGCGACGGTGATGATCTTTCGACCCTGTGTAAAACCTGACTGGGAGGCAAGCTTGAAACACTGCACAGCGGTGTTGACAGTGTTATCGCTGAGATTGAGGCGCTGAGCATAACCCTGCATCAGGGCGCGAGCCTCGCGAATGGTCTTCTCTCTGTCGTCGGAGCCACCGACGCGGCGAAAGGCCGGGCCCATGCTCCTCACACCAGCTTGGTCGGCGGCGATATAGCTTCCCTGTACCATGGCGGCACCGGAAGAGGTCTCGCCAAACTGAACTTCGGCAACAATGTTGCTGTCATCGGCGACACGACCGCAGGTTTGACAGATGCCGTCGACGACATTGGGCTTGACACAGGCCTTGTTCGGACATTGCGGGCGGTTCGAGATGGCGACTGTAGGGGGTCTTGCTCGGTTCTGTTGTGCCTGAGCAGCAGCGCTGGCGGCGGCGGCGGCGGCGGCACTAGCTTGCTGGCGTTCGGCTTGCTCGCGGATGGCTCGAATGCGGTTCGGTGGTTGGAAAGGCTTCGACTTGGTCGCCGGCTTTTGGGACTTCTTGGTGGGTGTTAGGAAGGAGGACATTGTTTCGACACTGGCGCCTTGCGAAGGCGGAGGCGACTCGCTGGGGTATCGGGAGGCCTAGGAGAATTTTGTCGAGAACGGAAGAGTTGTTTGCAGCATGAGAGCGCGGAATATGTGGATTGCGAAGTTGCGAATGGCCTCGTGAACGTCCCCTTTCCTCCAGCACCAGGCTACAGAGGTTGCCAGTCTGCTTCGCCTTCGCACCTCAGACGACGTAGATAAAAGCAATGGTTTGTGCAGGCGTGGCTTAGTGCGAGGTCGTCGACGCGTTCGGGTATGTGGGCAGTAGTGATACGATGGGCGAATAGAGTGTAAGTGAATTGAAGACGGAGTCTGCTATGGATTGTCTGCAGAGGGATACTGGTGGTCGGCGGAATGAGGTGAAGAATGGGAAATTTTGTGGGGTTGGCGACGAGATGGTCGAGCGGGGGAAGGTGCACGTTTGTGAGATGGAAGGCAGGTGCGCAGTCAGTGGTGGGATATAGGCATTTGCTGAGTCAATCTCCATTACCTTCCATAAAAGGGAATATCCACTTTTGTTACCTGTTGTTCCAGAGCTGCTGGTTCGAATCTGCGTCCGTCTTCACAACTATTTCAACAACGCACTGGAGATATTTCCAGCCACATCACATCAATACCGCCTCGCTGATGTGGCTGTCAATGTTCTCTGTCCCTCTGACTGAACGTTGCCTGTTACCGACTTGAAGACCCTGATCAGTAGAACTAACCTTGCTGGAACTACTTCCCAACTGGGCAGTATTCCCAGCAGGTACGGATACATTAGGTTGCATACCGGCGGAGACTCCGCCGATAACCGGCGCCAGCCAATCCTTCAAGCTCTCCCACCTGCGGGCCGAGTCACTTCTGTTTTGCCCCGCGTCCTGAGGGGATCGCGGGGCAACTTGATCAGGGACATGGAGGGTCAAGCGAAAATTCCGTCGACAATTGTCCTGATCATGAGGCCTCTTTGGATTCATAAGCATCCTAAGTGGGAATGAAGATTCACGTAGCTTCTCTTTTCAGGTTTGTAGCGCTACAAACTGATACTCCTCACCATGTTTCTTCGTGTTACTGGCCCTGATGAAAAGCCCGGAAACCCAACTGCGCTTTAAGTACTGTGAAATCGGTTTCGGTATGGGCGGCTCATCGGCCCATTGCACCGTCACAACGACACAAGGTGAAGAGACCCTGCATGACACCTTAGATCGGCAAACAACCTACAAGTATGAATACTTCGTGTTGCTTACTGCGGGGCAAGCGCGTGAAGTCACCAGGTAGGTATCTTACTTGGTAACTCCCACACCATCTGCATTGAAGTGTCCGGTGCAGAAACAGCCGCAATACCACTCTCGCTCAAGCCTATTTATACCTCCAAGCGCCCATCACTATTCTATACCTCATTTTCTCAACTGCAGTAGATCCACGCAATTTATACACATTAACTCTCTTTATTGTTGGCGAGTACAACACAATCAAGATACCCTAATCTAGTCAACCATGTCTTCCTTTACCCTTTCCGCTGCACCCAACACAGACGTATGGAAGAAGCCGCCTACTCACAACGTCTACGATGGTAACTTCAACTCACTCCTCACATATGACGCAAATTAACAAACCCAGCTCCCACAAAGACGGTTCCGGCCAAGCCCCTAAGCCAATTCAAGTCCGCCAAAATCACATTCACCGCAGACTGGACCGAACAGTACGACCAAGCAGGCCTCATCGTCACCTTTGACTCTAACTCTGGCCGCGAGAAGAGATGGATCAAGACTGGCTTGGAGTACTACCAAGGCACGCCACAGCTCAGCACCGTCGCCTGCGACCGCTGGGCCGACTGGAGCATTACCCCTCTCGCCGCCTTTGAGGACACCGAGAGCATTACTGTGCTCATCGAGCAGGAGCGCGACTTCATGGGCCCGAGCTTCTGGGTGTACTACGTGAAGCAGGACGGTACCAAGGTGCCGCTGCGTGAGATTTGCTGGGTTTTTGGAGACGATGACTGCACTGGCAAGGACTGGAATCTGACTGTTGGCGCTCTGGTTGCTCGGCCTGCCAAAGATGCCAAGAGCGATCTTGAGGTTCAGTTCAAGGATTTTGACGTGCAGTGGTCTGAGTGAGCGTTGGATAGGATAGCTCAATACCCTCCCAGCCTAAACATGAATACAAAGAATGCATCTATGACAACTTCGGTGCTCAAAAACGGTACAATGCACATTTTAAAAGATGCAATGGTCACAGGCAACCGTAGTTGCGATTACAGATTATTTAATTAAGTCTAGTATGGCATGGCCCAGCGTCATGAACATTGTACTCCATTGCTCGATGGAATTCAGCCCCTTAATTGCAATATTTGGGTATCATCCGTTTTTCATACCAGGTATTCAAGGTCCTCCTCTGCTCTCCTCTAACAGTGCTCGATCAAGATCGGCTTCCGGGGCCGTAGTACGTCCCGTCCAGGCCTGTTTCGGCTACCCTCTCAGTTGTATCAGCATTGGCCCCTGTCATCTGCCCTTTGTCATGCTGCGGTTGAAAAGAAGATTGCTGCGGCGAGTACGGGTAGGGCTGGTATGAACCTGCAGGCTGCATCGGCGGCGGCCCATTAATAGGCACCATATAAACGGGAGGAGGGCGAGCATTGCGCTGCTTGCATTCAATACAGGCGCGGACGAAGAGGGTGAAATTGTCGATACTATGAAGTGTTAGCGATCATCCCGAGGCTTTTTGAAACACTCATATCGAGTACTGACAACAAGAGGGCAGTGAACGCCATTACAGTATCCTGCATAGAGGTGACCTGGCCACCACTCAATACCCACGACCGCGGACCATCGCGGAGGATGATGTTTGCAATCTCCCATCCCGTGGCCACCATGAAGACGAGCCAGAAGAGCAAGTGCATTCCGACGTGAGCACCGGGGTGGATTCCACGCCTCCCGCCTCTTGCGCAGATGGTGATGAGTTCAGAGGTTTCCCAACACACAAGAGCGGCTGCCTACAAGCGAGTTAGATATCACATGTTCCCAATTTCAACCGCTATGCTAGGAGCACACTGCTTACAGGGAATCCACTGAATACAAGATAGAATGAACTTGAAAATGAGTAAAATATGAGAGAGAGCGAGATGCCGAGGACGATGGCGCTGAACGCAATATTGAAGCCGCGAATGACAACCTTGGCTCGGTGCCATTTTGCGTTAAATGGGATTCCTCGAGGAGCTTGTTGCGCGTATGGCACGTAGCCTTCGAAGCCATCAGGCGGTGCGTACTGCGACTGTGGTGCGTACTGGGTTGAAGCCATGATGAATTTGGTGGCTTAGTGAGCGTCTTACACACCTCGACAGCGACTTTACAATACGAGAGTCCACGATTCTGGTGTAGTCCGAACCGCAAAATGAACGACAACGAAACCGATGGCGCTTTCAACATGAACCAAAAAGGAGCAAGAGACACAGGCGTTGGTTCAAATTTTCGGCACCGGAATTTTGGCTCATTTTATCGCACGACTGTGCCGCTCTTCTAACGGTTTGGTGCATGATACAGGCACCGACGCGGTAACAATCGCGTCCCAAAAAGGACGGTGCCCCTGGCTAGAACCAGTTGGCGGCGGAGATCAGGGTCTTGCCATTGGACCACAATTTTGGCTCATATGGGCCTTGAGCAGAACCCATGTCAGCTGTGCCGCTGGCTGCCTAGACACCAAGAAATCCCGGTTCGTGCCACAAGAGCTGAAGATGCACTACGATCGCGAGATCGAGGGTATGACGGTCCTCGAGGGAACGAGAGACATATTGGGTCTAACGCCTGGACCACGGTAATTGCCGCGCTGGAGGTTTTTCCACTGAAGACCTGACAATATGATTCTCTCATCTCTGTAAACTCCAGCGCCGGTTGTCAGCTGTATAATGGTAATTGCTCCGGATGTCTGTCTTAGTTCACAGAAGCGCAGCGGTGGCTGGCAAAAGCCCCGCCAAATGTTAGGTACGTGACCGAGGCCCCCTCGGTCATCGAAATCAATCAATCTAAGTATCACCGTCACGGCTACCCAAAAACCGCGAATGTGCTGTTTCTCCAATCTTGTTGGTCTCTGCAGCGACTTTCGCGATTGTGGCGCTCGATGGCTCCTGGCTGGTTTCCAATATAGGTATCAATTTTTGGCCACAATGACGAGTCTACTCCCTCTGCAGCACCACTACCAAGCCCATTATTCCCAGCATTGCCGTCTTCAACCACGGGTATTCTGAAAGGAGGATCGTAACGTAGCCGACGAAGGGGATGTATGCGACAACGCTGCCGATGATATCCTTGCGCACGAGGTAGTCCTGGTCCTTGGCATACAGCTCTGCTTTGAGTCAGTCTTTAGTCGCGGAGGGCTCTTGGAGGTCCACGAACCAGTGTCATCGGAGTTGTTGTTGTCGCCCTTGGTAAGAAGCTTCGCTTCCGGTCTGCGACGAGCCTCTCGGTCAGCAAGGAAGGCAATGGGAGACAGAGTGTAGGAGGAGCTTACCCAGAGCCGAATCGTCGAACCACTCTGTGGACAATGGGAATGTTCTTGCCCTTGACCTCGTAGACAACGATCTCGCCAACGTCGGTTTCCTGGATCAGGTTGCGGTTCCACAGGAAAAGGAGATCGCCTCTCTGAAAGGCAGGCTCCATGGAACCACTGAGGACGACAACAATCGGACTGGGGGAATCGGAAATCACGGAAAGGCCCTTCCACATCTGCCACTGGGGTTAGCAAGAGCTTATTTGGGTAGGACAGCTGTGCACACCATGAAGGCAGTCGAGAGGATCAGCGCAAAGTTGAGCAGTTGCGACGCCGCCTGGCGCGGGTTTCCGAGACTCGACAACATGTTTGCAGCAGTTCTGACAAGTGCAGGGGGTGTTGCGATTAGACTCGTCGGTGGTGGCAGAAGGTCTTGGGTCGTGAAGTTCGGTTTGGAGTTGAGTTCTGGCCAGCAACGCACCTTCCTCGAAGCTGGAAGCAAGAGCAAGAGCACAGGCCAGCTGTTTTGCAGACGTGGAACGTGTCAATGGAGATCCAGAGGTACGTACTCTGCTTATCTTATCGTTTCTCACCAACGGTCGGCTCAAGACGGAAGTGGTGCACAGACCACCGTTTATTCTCCTTCAGCTTGGAGCTCTCTGGTCCAGTGATCCTGCCTCATCTAACATCCCCAAGCTGCAAGCTGCACCCTCTCCGCAGGTAGAACCACAGAAGTCATGGCACATAAAGTATTCCTGCAGCTTAAGCATCAATTGGGTTTAATGTCCATCATAACAAGCAGTGAATACCAGTCCTCTTGCAGGAATATGCTACAAGTCAAACACAATATGCTTCCACTCAACAAAGGATCAGGATATTCGCAATTCAAGTAAACTATAAAAATTCATCAAAACCCGTCGTGGATTTTCCAATATCGAGTCACAGCACTTGTCTCTTTGCCTGATCTCAATGGCTCCCTTGGTTCCTACCACAAGTGGCACACCAAATGTCTTCTTTCCTCATTGACAGCCGATGCTGCCTGCTACCTGCCTTCCTCAATTTGGACTTCACAGATCACTCACTTCCTTCCGCCATTAGGGATAAAGAGCCAAGCACATATGTCCGACATGACTTCCTTCTTTGGATGTAATAGCCAGCAACGGCAGTCGCAGCTTCACCAACAGGTGGAAGGCAGCAACTCCCTTCTGAAATATTCCACATGTCTCTGTCCTACGTTCTCCCATCGCATCCCCCGCTCCTCGACCTGACATCCCTCTCTCAGTCTTTTCTTCGATCTCTGCCTGGTGTTTGCCAACAAGCCGACAGACGTCTTCTGTGTACCAAGCATTATCAGGACGCCCGAAGCATCATCTCTCCCAGATTCCAAACTTCGACAGCCTCTCTTCAGTATCCTGACTAGACTCCGCTAGAAGCCATCGTGATGGACGCCTCCGTCACGACTCCGTTGCTCCACGGGCAATCAGAGTTCCATGATGGACATGGCCTGCCCACGCCCGCATCCTATGGCCAGGTTCAAGACCATGTACGATCCATTGTCGATTATTAGGCATCTTCACGGCTTCAATTAACCTATCTTTCTTAGCCTGCGTTTCTCAGAGCATGCCATTCACCCTGGCGGTCCTTCTCTCAGAACCACTTGTGCTGGGTTCGAGGTGGTATCGTTGCCTACCTGACAGGAGTCGGAGCTACGGTTCTTGACTACAAGCTGCGAAAAGAAGAGTCTCCCTACTCTGACTGGCGAGTGGTCTTTGACTTCTCCGTCGTCACCTATTCTCTGCTCCTGGCCTACCATGCGGTCGTACTGGTATGCCAATTCAAAGCATAGGTAGTCTCCGTGGCGGCTTGTTGCTGACCCCGATCATTAATTCTAGGGCTGGACCTATACTCATCTCTATCATCCACATATCGAGGAGATCAGCACTGGCTGGGAGTACTGGGCATTGAGAACCCTGTCATTGCCTTACGACATGGCCAGTCTTCGCAAGCAGTTCTACTTCACCCTGTTCTACACCATCACAACTGTTTTTACCTTCATGAACACAGTCATCTACTGGTTTGTCACCTTGGAGCACGACGACAATAACACGGGAGAGCCACCCAAGCCTCAGCCATCTGGAGGCTCCGCCATGGCCAACATGATCGGGGACTCTTTTGCATCCGAATGGTCCAGCTTGGCAGACTCACACAAGAATGGGCCACATGAACCTTGTAAGTCATGACGTCTAGTTGACGTTGTCTTGGTCTAACGCCGCAATGTCAGTCACGGAGATATTCGGAAAGGGCTGGTACAAAGCCTTTGTCATCATCAACCTCTTCGGAATCACATCAGTCGTCTCTCTCATTGAGATCTTCTGGCTCAACAGCATTAAGCGCCCCTTTGTGAGTTGCCCTGTACCTGAGGCAAGAAACATACACTGACACGACTGAAACGGGCAGGGCGTTGGCGCACACACGTTGGGCGTTATCTTCTTCGCGGGACTCTATCTCGGTTGGGCAGCCATCGGCAAAGTCGAGACTGGCGCCGATGCCTTTTACTGGCTGAACGAGAAGAATGTCGGATCCCGTGAGGCCGTGGTGGCATCGTCAATTGGATTCGTAATCCTTGCTCCCATCAGTGGGTTCTCTCTGGTACCTGGTGACTTTGACCAAAATGATACTGACTTGTTGACTAGTGTACGCATTCATGTACGGTCTCGTTGGTATGCGCGAGAACATGGCCCGAGCTGCCCATACGAGACGGGTTGCCGCCGCTGCCGCGGTGGCGGGCCACTGAGGGACTTTCGGTCCAGACGGGTCTTGTCGGAGATGAACGGGGCAGGCGTCGGGCGGTGAGCACGGCGGTGGTGGCCGGTTCCATCGGGCTTGGCCATGCGTCGTTGATAGGTACAGTGGACGGATGCCTCAGATTGTAGGATTGATAAGGCATGCATCGGGCTGGACTCGAGGATGGTGTAATGTACCCCCTTCGAGGCGGTGGAGGGCAAGATGCCAGGGAGGGTGAACATACGATTACCAAAATAACCTAGAGCATTATGACTTCCAACACGCAACTCCTAGATTTCCAGGGGCCGAGGCACTGTCTGACGAATGAATTGTGATTGCTGGGAACTTGGAAGGGGAATCCACGACTAAGGTTGGCAGGTAATGGTATCATGGGCGTTGGCGGGACGGGACGCGAGGGGAAGACCGATGGATGGATCATGGAGCTGGGGCAAGGAGCGGTGTTGAGGCGGTGATGCAGGTCACTGGGCTTGCCGACGATGAAGACAGGCGGAGAGCAGGGATTGGGGGAGACAAGCGAGCGGGACGGGGTCGTGGTGGCTCTCGATGATTGGCGGCGGTGATTTTGTGCCTGAATCTGCCCGACTAGCGGCAAACGCCAATCTCGAAGAGGGACGCAAAGTCGACGATGTGATTTTGTCCGAGGAGGAGGAAGTGGGAGGGGGGAGCAAGAGGAGAGGTTTTGTTGCAAGGGTTCGTGGATCGATCCATGGACCAAAGAGACCAATGCTGGGATATTGGGCTGAGAAGGAGGAGGGGTTGAGAGTCGAGACGAGTCGAGCCAGGATTCTAGAAGTTGAGTCCGAAGCAACGGCACGACTGGCCTGGCAGCTCAGAACTGACCAAGGTAGGTAGGTGACTGATTATGGAAAAGAGTTGTCGTTCATGCGGCTTTGAGCGAGTTTGGATGGGTTCAGAGTGGTTTGGATGAAATAAAGTTAGGTTGTGGCTAGTGAGACAGTGAGGTCTGAATGCGTTCTCGACGGCGGTACTGACACCAATTGTGAAGCAGTCTGGGAAAAGAAGGTAGATGCTGGCGAGCTCTCAGTCGTGGAAAGGCAGTGAACTGTAGGGAGGAACTGCGTGGTAAGGCACCTACACGCAAGTTCAGGTCTCCAAGTATTGCAGAGAGCATGAGGCTCTATCCAATCCCGCGTGGCAGGGCGGAAGCTTGGGCGATCCGGGGGAGGCGGCGATGAGGGGAGAGGTGCAGAGGTGCAGAGGGTGCAGCATCTCGAGCAGTCCCGATCCTGCGAGGATAGAGTAGATGGCAACCATGGCAACCGTGGGCGGCATGTCCAGACGACGAACTCACCAACCGGAAGGGTAGACGTCGAGCCGCCAGTGAGTTGGCAGCTTGGCCGAATCAGTCGGATACCTTATCGATCACGGAATCTAGGTTGTTGGGCACTTTGAGGGCATCGGTGCTCATGACCCGGGCAACGAGCCAATGATAGTGCCAAGGGGTCGTCGACCGCCTTCTCGCGACTTCTTTTGGTGTCCATGAGGGATCCATGAGGTAGGTATCGTTTGACTCCTGAGATGATATCCTGAGGTGTCGAGTCTGAAAGAGGGAAATGAGAAGAACCACAAAGGACTCGCGCAACTGAGGGAGCCCCGCGTTGCGACGCCCTCACGTGCGGTCCTGACGACAGCGCATGCGAGGACGGTGAGGTGTCTACGGATGAGGTTTCTTGGGCCGCCATTCCCGACTTTGGAACCTTCCGATTGTCTCTTGGCGGATTCGGATAAAGGAACAAGAGATACAAGAAGGATGTACCTAAGCCAAGCCCAATTGAGAACATGAGGTGGAAAGTACATGCCCTGAGGTACCTCCTCCAGATCCAGTCTGCCAACGCACCGGGAGGCCCGTTCCCACTCTCGGGGGGGTCGGAGAAGGCACGGAGGGGAGGGGGGGTTTCTGGTCTGGGCCCAGGGCCGATGGCCGGTGACCGTTTTGTTCCAGGGAGCCTCCACAAGTACCGGCGCGTGTTATCGCAAGGTACTTCTGGCACACGCATGGTCATACCCTTAGATGGGGTACCTGAGATAAGAAGTTAGACTCAACTTCTAGGTCTAGCTCCTGAGGCAAAGGGGGAAAGTGTCGGGTGCCTTAGCGGCTACTCCCCGGTTGGAGGCGCGGCGGTTTCATGGCGGATACCTGAGAAAAGATACGTATCTCACGTTTGGCGGGCAGTTCCAGTCATTCGTGTCAGTCTTCCATTGCGTATCCGTCCAGTCATACCTAGAGCCGTTACAACTTGCGCGTAAGGTACCTACCTACCTTACTTGCTGCCATCCTGAAGTCGCTCACTGCTTCCATGTCCTTATTTCATTGGCGAAGCACAGGAAAGAAAGAGCCCGACAGTCTGCCATGATGAAAGCTGAGTGGCAGACTGGCAGTTGACAGGTACCGCGGGTGAAGTCACTGACATCCCCGACGTTCCATTTTGGTCGTGGTTAGGCTGAGATGCTGCCTGGGCTGTCCATGTCTGCCCGGTCCGCAGCTGGCAATCTGCCCCAACAGCGTTCATGGCCGTTCAGCTCTTTGCACCAGTTCCAGGTTTCCCCCTTCAAGGGCCAGCAACGCGCGCCAGTTGTTTACCCTGCCTGCTGAACATCAAGTACCTTCTGGCGTGAAGATGTTGCTTGCGAGTACTTGCAGTGAGTACCTACTTGGAACTGGCAGTAGGGACGGGACTGCTTGGTGTTCGTCCTATCAAACACGCGGCTCGCACTACGGAACACACCTCCCGCCGCCACCCAGAATTGCGGCGGTTGGGAAGACGCCAGCCAATAATACCCTGCCAAAGAAGAGATCCAGCCTAGGAACATCACCAACTTAACGTGATGGTATAAATATGAAAGCCCCCCCTCCGCAACCCACCCCTCTTCCCTCTTGTTCTCCCCCTCCCCCCCTCAACCACAACCAAAAAAGGGTCGCAAAGTTGCAAGTTGGGAATACCTCCTTGGGCCATTCGTTACTGAATTCCCTTTCCATAGGAGGCATCTCTCACCCCGGACCCCCAGTCAATCTTTTTGTGTGTCACTCGTCCCTCACTTCTCACACTCTCTCTTCTCTCTCTCTCTCTCTCTCGCTCTATCCCCCCTCCCCTCCCCCTCCGATCCGAACACCCCTCCAACTTCGTCATTCCTCCCTCTCCTCTATTCGCTCATTTCGTCGCTCTCTACAAGTCTTCTTATCCCATAGACAAAGACATATAAGGTTCCTGGGCAACGCGCTCTCCATCGTCTCAGCTTCCCTAGTCTTTACTCTATCGTTCCCCATTCGAGTTGTCATTCCTTAATCAGAACAACAACATCAGCAACATCAACAGCATCAGCAACAACAACTTCTTCGGGCCTACAACGCCCGCTCTCTCTTAGCAAACCACAACCGTCATGTCGTTGTTCAAGCGTACCTTCAGGTCGCAAGACCCCAATGTCCGCGTCGACAAGACGTCCAGGCTGAAGAAGTCAAGCTCGATCCGGGATCACCAGAAGCTTTCGAAAATGCAACAGTCCGTCAACGAGAAGCCCGCCATGGCCCCGCCAGCCGCCCCCGCGCCGCTGCCGACCAAGACGGGCAAGTCCGTGGCCCCTTCACCCATCGTCACCTTGACCGTGGGCCGCGAGGGTCGACTGTTTGCCGCTCATGAGGACGTCCTCTTCCAGTCGCCCTTCTTCGAAGCCGCCTGCCGAGGCCAGTTCTTCGAGTCGCAGAGCAAGAGAATATCCCTCCCCGACGAAGAACCCGAGATCTTCTCCTCCGTTCTTGAGTACCTCTACAAGGGTGACTACTACCCCCGCCTCGTCCACAATAGGCACCGCAACTCTTGGGAACTCGAGGACGCCGTCAGAGGAACTCCCCAAACTTCCCCCAACCCCGAAAACACCCCCCGAGGCGGCCGCGCAGCCGCCGTTCCCTCCACTCCCACATCGACAACTACCGGTACCACCGCGAGTGAGGCAACAATATTTGTCTCGGGCTGCGGGCAACACATCCTCCGCGACACCGTCATCTACTGTGCTGCGGAGCGGTACGGGCTCGAGGAGCTCAAGCGCCTGGCTCTGCGCAAGCAGGGTCTCCAGTCCGGCATTGATATCGGCACCATCCTGCGCTCCGCCCAGTACGCCTACGCCCACACCCCCGACTCGGACTCACGGCTGCGCGCTCACTACCTCGCTCTGATCATCAGATGTCGCAAGACATTCAAGAGGAGCGGAACCATGCAAGCCGAGATGGAGCGCGGCGGTAGCAAGCTCTTCTTTGACCTGTTCGTGGCCATGTGCAACCACCTCGACGACGTTATCGACCACAGCAACGCGCGAACACCCAAGACCGTCTGAGAGGTTTCGGTTGACTTTTTTGGTCATGTTGGTTGAGTTGACTCTCGACCAGACACAGCCAGAAAAACACATGTACAAAAGCGATCATGGTACTGTCACGGCGTTCAACACGGTTGTTTATCTTGTCATTTTGGTCCTTTGCCTTCCGGATTTGCATCACAAGGATAGGAGGTTGTCTGAGAACTGCGATCCCACGGAGGTCTGCTTTTCATGCCGGAACGTCACTTTCTCCCCTCTCTCCCACACCAGATTGGAAACTTCACCATTTGGGAGCTGTCTTTTCTTTCTGAAAACCCATCTCCACTTCTCATCGAGGTTGGCCGAATAAACCTTTCTGGTGGATTACCGGAGTCGAGGAGGACTAATACCCCCGCAAACGAGATTCACTCCTCCCGCTCTTCTTGCTTTCAACTCTCTCTTCCGCATCTTCTGAACAAAGATTCCCCCAAATACAGGATACATCGGGCCCGGGCGGTTTATCTCTCTCTCCAATTTACCAATCACTGGCGTGTACCCCCTTCTGAGCACTAGTACTTTACTCCACGTTCACTCGTAGGTGGTAAGAGAACGGCTCAAACGGCTCATCAGAGAGCGACAAAAGGAGGAAAACGAAACGGAGAAGAGACTTGTTACCTTTTGATTTTACACAAAAAACATAAACGACAAAAAAAAGAAAGACACCAACCCCAGCACCAAGTTTGTTCCACTCTTCAACTACTCTGCTTACTTGGGAACGACAATGTACGGGGGACGGCGCAATTCCAATATCAACTCTCATCTCTCCATCGGGAACAACGGATTTTGGGCGTTTACGGTATTAGACATACCGGGGCACATGAGTTTGGTGCCAGCTACCATAACAGATTGTGTTTTTTGTCTTCTTTCCATTTTCTGAGATTACGGATGTCTTGAGGATACGTACGGGATGTGCCCGCCTCCGACTCCAGGGCAGGCCGAGGAGAAATCATGTACAACTCTCAACAGCGTAACAAGGACCAGACTTTTGCGCTCTTTCTTCTTCTGGCCTCGCCAAATCAACAACTCAACAACAACCAAAAAAACGGAAAATCTTCCAAGCAAACAAAGCATGTCAAGACTGAACGACTTACACACCACATGCTTTCGGATCTCATTTGTCTCTGGGAATTTTAGGAGGATGCAACTCTTGTTTTTTCACGCGGTTTTCTGCATTGGTTCCTGCTTTTGCGATATAGCCTAGGCGGATTGGGGACATCGTCCCTAGTGGATTGGTTCTCTGGGACCTGGCTTGAGCCCTCGTCAGGGCGAGGTAATGAGAAATTTCGGCCACCTCATGAATTGTTCCTCTTGTTCTATGTGACTGTCTGCATGTTTCGAAGTGACTCTTTTTCCTGTTTGATTGGCCCTCTCGTAGTGTGTATACCTGCATGTTGAGTGACTCACGAGCCTAAGTCTAGTCATAGCCTCAAGCACCTGGTAGTCAGTTCGATCAAGCCTGCTAATTGAATTGCAACTTACCAGTCACCAATGCCCTGAGTCCTCTGACTATATGTACACCTTCCAGAAGTTTCGGTCGTAAGTTCAAGTTGCCTCAGCAATCGTCAGGCAACCAAAGACAACATGAGAAAACGCATTCATGCAGGGGTAATCTGCCCATTTATTTGCTTTTGCCAGAGAGACAAGAACCTCAAACAAGCGCCGATCCCCGTTCGACAACTGGCGAGACATAGAACACGACGGCAACTATTTGTATTAATTAAGGAGTAGTATTCGTACGTATGCATGGTTTCGATTTTCAACGTGCCCGTTTCTCAGCTCTATCGCAGTGATAATCACAATGTTTGTTGTTGTTTTGTCTCGCCATGAGGCACAGACATACGCTCGTTTGTAGTGGTAAGTACCACTCGCTACCCAAGCGACCCGAGTAACGTGCGACGTCGCCGGCGTGATGTTGCACGTTCGTCTCCTCTGGCGCGGCGGTGCCTTGGAGATGTGGTACAGATGTAACCTGCTTTTTGATTATCGAGGCGCCGACTCGGCTCTGTGGCCTGTGTGATGGATATCAGCCCCCAAATTTCGGCACTTGGGGCGAGGCTGCTAGAACTACCAAAATTTCGCGTGTTTGAATTAGAGAGACAACAAGTCTTTTTGTGAATGTGTCGCGCGTAAACGGGATAATGCTACTACAGATGCTGTAGGAAGCAAGTCATCAAACAAGATGAAGCCCGTCCGTCCTCTGCAGATCCCGATTTCCGAGATTTTTTTTTTTGTTTTTTTCGGCGCAATCTTCTCTCTTACACTAGGTCCCCGAGTCCCTTCCAAACTGTAAACATTGGCCGGTGAGACATTTTGCGGGTTGGAAAACACGTCAAGTGCGAAACTAGTCAATCTGCACGACACAATGAGACCGCGGGACTCGGGAAGGGACTACGTTAGGCTTTGGGGCCTTGCCAGCGTGCCATCGGTGCAGCGAAGTGTGATGCGATGCAGACTGACTAAAATGAGAGACAGGTTAATCAGGGACGGATGGGCGGGCGCTGCGCGTGAACCGAGACTCGGAGGGAGATCGTGTGTTACCCCTCGCATACTAGATAGGCACGGCAGGGTTCGGTGAGGAGTGGGATATATAGTCGCTTTCCCCCGTCTGGATGTTGCTATGTTGGGCTTGACTTGAAGCTTACCTGGATGTTCATCCAACTATTCACTTTGAACCTTCCGAGAACGATCTGTCCTGATCGAGCGCGCATTCGACCCAGCAATAACCAATCAAACCCAGCTTTGGCGTACTGGCCAGATTCACTATTGAGCTGGAAATACGAGGGGTAAGTTTGCCATTTATTTTCTAGTCCTTGGCCAAGGTTTGCTCAGCTCGTCCCATGTCTTCCAAAGACTTTCGGGAGCTGAGCACCCCGGAACGTTTGCCGGGAAAGAAAAGCTTCTCTATTGTTGGAGGTTCCCGCGTCGTGCGTCCGCCCCCGCATTCTACCACCGCTTTCGTTTTCGTTTGCTTTCTGGTCTTGTCTTCTTGGCCCGAGTTTGTTGAATGCTGGGAGCTTCTTCTTTGTATTGAAATCCTCGGATGGATTTCCCGTCCCTTGTTCACACCGACAGGGCCCTTGTTTGTATCCGCACCGGGCCGGAGAAGTGGGGACCGAATTGCTGCAGTTGGGATTGGTCAATTGCCGGAGCTCTGGACCAGGGGTAAAATTGAACCCTTTTTTTGAGTTTTTGCGGCTTGTTCAAAACACGTGGTTCACCGTTTAACAGTTTATTCTATCTTGTTTATTTGTTTGCAGAGGATGGAGGGATAGAGTTGACTGGATCGTTTCAAGCTGATAAGTGTGACAAGCATCATCTTTAGGATCCTTCCTTCTATTGAGCGACGACTTTGATGAGGCAGTTGCGACTTTGAAGTTGTCGTCACTGGCGACCTCCCGTCCCTTCCTCACGAATTTGGCCCCGGGCAGCCCCTGTCTGTTACCCCACTCTTTCGGTCCCGTGCGCCTGGATTGAGATTTGCACCTGGCAGGAACTTTCCATCGTACCTTCCAGGTAGGGAGTGGG